CTTGATCTTGCTCATGAAGACCTGATAGACACCAAGAGCTTGTTTGATCTTGCTCCTAGAGAGCTGACAAGCAAGAAAGACGTGTTTCAATTTGCTCGGAGCGCACTGACAGCAAAAATTTGTCTAATCTTATCGACTAAAGTTCTGGTAGCAAAAGTACTGTTTAACCTGCAATCACGTTTTAACTATTATAACTGACATATACATTAATTTATTATATAAATTTTGTGGAAACCACTTGTATAATTATAGTATTAAAACATTGACTGAAATAAAAAATAAGGTTGGCATTCCTACCAATTCTGACTAGGATGCAAATCACTGTAAAATGATTCAACCTGCCTGATAGCCCACGAGTGGGTAAGGCGGTGGCCGGAGGGACCCCAATACGCATACACGATATCTCTCCAGCTCCGGGGCCTTGTTAGGAGCTTCCACTATGAATAGTTTTTTCCCATGTATGCCAATGTCAAGTCACCAATCCTGCCGCTTAGGCAGCTTGTTCTTTTGCCTTCAGCTTTAGTTCTTTTTAATGATATACTGTACTCCTCTCCCTTTGTATGCTGTGTCCCATATAAGAATAAGAAAATACAAAAGAATTTTCCATTTTCTGTATGTTATTTTCATGTTATTATTATCATCTTAACTCTTGTGGGTTGTGATGAGATCTGCTATTTATGTGTATTTTAGTTTGTGTTTGATAGGGAATTAGGTATGCTTAGGGGGTGATTTCTCGCCATGCCCTGTGCCTGGGGGGATTGGTGCCCTGAAGCTACATAAACACCCTATACCCCCCGAAGTGGCAAGGGGAGTTAGGGGGACACAATCTCAAGCTTTTACTATATACCAAAATGTGAGTGTTTCCATACCGAGTTTTAAAGTGAGAAACTTTTTGAAAAACTATGCTGTATATGCAGGTGTTCAAAATACCTTTATATATATATCATGCTGGGAATTAAGTTCAGCCCAGGAAGTATAGGCCAACATGCCACAGAAGCGTCAAGAGCAAGTATAAGGATTTAAAGCCGCCAGAACTACGCTTGAAGCTTAGAAATTGAGCAAAGAGAGATTAGAAATTGGTTTCTAAATCCCCAATTAGAAATTGGGATTAGAAACGGGTTTCCATCTGATTTCCCCCACGATTGTGAATGGCGAATTCGACGTCCCAATTCCACCCAAAAAATAATTTTTTCTAATAAATTACCTCAGGTCAAAGCAATATTGCTGCTCCTTTTCTGACAATCAAAAGATTAAATAACTAAATGCCATCCTGAGAGGCTACGAGAGCGAGGCATTCTATATCAACTTTTTTTTCAGTTGAAAAAGACTTTAAACCCTGAAAAAGAGAGTATAAAAGACTTTCTCATTATCTCGATGGGGTTCAGACTTTATTTACATGCCCATTTAATAAATTATATATATATATATATATATATATATATATATATATATATATATATATATATATATGTCGTACCTAGTAGCCAGAACGCACTTATCGGCCTACTATGCAAAGCCCGATTTGCCTAATAGGCCGAGTGATTTTCTTTATTTTCAATAAATTATTTCCAATTAGTTTATTTGAATTATTATTATTATATTATATTAAGAACATAATTTATTGACTTAGTTGTGTTAGTTTAGGGTAGGTTAAGATAGGTAAGGTAGGGTTGGTTAGGTTTGGTTATATATCTACGTTAGTTTTAACTCAAATTTTAAAAAAATTAGCTCATAATAAATTGGATAGCTTTATCATTTCATAAGAAAAAATAAAAATATATAATTTCAGAAAAACTTGGCTTATTAGGCAAATCGGGCGTTGCATAGTAGGCCGAGTACAGCGTTCTGGCAACAAGGTACAACATTCTATATATGTTGTTAAATATGACCGAAAAAGTAAGATTAATAATTCTAACACGAATTTTCTCAATATTTCTTATGTTTCTTTTTACTGTCGATGGTAATTGAAAAATCAATTCTCCAAAATTCATCTTTATTTCTAGTCTGTCGCGACGCTTGAACGCGTTTCGTAATAACTTATTACATTTTCAAAGATGTAATAAGTTATTGAAAATGAAAATGAAACATTTTCTCTTTGAAAATGTAATAAGTTATTACGAAACGCGTTCAAGCGTCGCGTCAGACTAGAAATACTCACCTTATATGTATGTTACACTCACATCACGTGGTTGGATGCGACCGCTATGATTTATACTGCATCATAATTTGTCCGATGGGAATTTTAACGTCAAAATGCAACGTATTGTTCTAGAGGACAGGTTAAGAAAACCAATCTTCCCCCCCCCCCAAAAAAAGACTATAAAGAACACTAACAAAACATGTAGATAAAATTATGTTGATAAGTGTACATATATACATGCTTCAAACCATTCATCTACACACATTCACATACGCTGTAATACTTTTGAAAAATCTTTTTGAAAAAATGGAAGGCAGGCAGGAGGGTTACTGTGTGTGGATAGGCAGGCAGGAGGGTTACTGTGTGTGGATAGGCAGGCAGGAGGGTTACTGTGTGTGGATAGGCAGGCAGGAGGGTTACTGTGTGTGGATAGGCAGGCAGGAGGGTTACTGTGTGTGGATAGGCAGGCAGGAGGGTTACTGTGTGTGGATAGGGAGGCAGGAGGGTTACTGTGTGTGGATAGGCAGGCAGGAGGGTTACTGTGTGTGTGGATAGGCAGGCAGGAGGGTTACTGTGTGTGGATAGGCAGGCAGGAGGGTTACTGTGTGTGGATAGGCAGGCAGGAGGGTTACTGTGTGTGGATTGGGAGGCAGGAGGGTTACTGTGTGTGGATAGGCAGGCAGGAGGGTTACTGTGTGTGGATAGGCAGGCAGGAGGGTTACTGTGTGTGGATAGGCAGGCAGGAGGGTTACTGTGTGTGTGGATAGGCAGGCAGGAGGGTTACTGTGTGTGGATAGTCAGGCAGGAGGGTTACTGTGTGTTGATAGGCAGGCAGGAGGGTTACTGTGTGTGGATAGGCAGGCAGGAGGGTTACTGTGTGTGGATAGGCAGGCAGGAGGGTTACTGTGTGTGGATAGGCAGGCAGGAGGGTTACTGTGTGTGGATAGGCAGGCAGGAGGGTTACTGTGTGTGGATAGGCAGGCAGGAGGGTTACTGTGTGTGGATAGGCAGGCAGGAGGGTTACTGTGTGTGTGGATAGGCAGGCAGGAGGGTTACTGTGTGTGGATAGGCAGGCAGGAGGGTTACTGTGTGTGGATAGGCAGGCAGGAGGGTTACTGTGTGTGGATAGGCAGGCAGGAGGGTTACTGTGTGTGGATAGGCAGGCAGGAGGGTTACTGTGTGTGGATAGGCAGGCAGGAGGGTTACTGTGTGTGTGGATAGGCAGGCAGGAGGGTTACTGTGTGTGTGGATAGGCAGGCAGGAGGGTTACTGTGTGTGGATAGTCAGGCAGGAGGGTTACTGTGTGTGGATAGTCAGGCAGGAGGGTTACTGTGTGTGGATAGGCAGGCAGGAGGGTTACTGTGTGTGGATAGGCAGGCAGGAGGGTTACTGTGTGTGGATAGGCAGGCAGGAGGGTTACTGTGTGTTGATAGGCAGGCAGGAGGGTTACTGTGTGTGGATAGTCAGGCAGGAGGGTTACTGTGTGTGGATAGTCAGGCAGGAGGGTTACTGTGTGTGGATAGGCAGGCAGGAGGGTTACTGTGTGTGGATAGGCAGGCAGGAGGGTTACTGTGTGTGGATAGTCAGGCAGGAGGGTTACTGTGTGTGGATAGGCAGGCAGGAGGGTTACTGTGTGTGGATAGGCAGGCAGGAGGGTTACTGTGTGTGGATAGGCAGGCAGGAGGGTTACTGTGTGTTGATAGGCAGGCAGGAGGGTTACTGTGTGTGGATAGTCAGGCAGGAGGGTTACTGTGTGTGGATAGGCAGGCAGGAGGGTTACTGTGTGTGGATAGTCAGGCAGGAGGGTTACTGTGTGTGGATAGTCAGGCAGGAGGGTTACTGTGTGTGGATAGTCAGGCAGGAGGGTTACTGTGTGTTGATAGGCAGGCAGGAGGGTTACTGTGTGTGGATAGGCAGGCAGGAGGGTTACTGTGTGTGGATAGTCAGGCAGGAGGGTTACTGTGTGTGGATAGGCAGGCAGGAGGGTTACTGTGTGTGGATAGGCAGGCAGGAGGGTTACTGTGTGTGTGGATAGTCAGGCAGGAGGGTTACTGTGTGTGTGGATAGGCAGGCAGGAGGGTTACTGTGTGTTGATAGGCAGGCAGGAGGGTTACTGTGTGTGTGGATAGTCAGGCAGGAGGGTTACTGTGTGTGTGGATAGGCAGGCAGGAGGGTTACTGTGTGTGGATAGGCAGGCAGGAGTGTTACTGTGTGTTGATAGGCAGGCAGGAGGGTTACTGTGTGTGTTGATAGTCAGGCAGGAGGGTTACTGTGTGTGTGTGGATAGGCAGGCAGGAGGGTTACTCAGTAGAGATAATATTGAAGTTCTCTCGAGGCAGGATCAAGTATAACATTTGGGGTTTACGGCTCATGCTCGGTGATATGAAAAATTGGTGTACTGACAATTATATAAATTATATATAAATGTAATAGTTTCTCTTGTAAATTGATATAAATATGATTCTTATATTGTATATTATTTAATAAAACAAATAAAAAGTTGGCAAGACGGACCACTTGCCAACTTTTTTTTGTTTCACAATTTTTTTTTATCATAACTCAGACTATGTTTCAAATCTGAAGAACTTTCCTTGTCCCTAAACCTCGTCCTCAATTGTCCCCCCCCCCCTCCTCCCCGTCCCACCAAAAACAAAACAAAAAAAATACTGTTTAGACGGTTACGACGATATCATTACATTTGGACGGTTAGGCGACTATTTTAGCAATCATTGGCGAACAATGTCTTTCATTAACATCGTTAGGTTAATTGTGTTGTTAAGGTCCTAGCGCCCATGAGATCCCGTTTGGTGACTTGACTGTATATAATACAACTATAATTTTACCAATGTCTATGGCAAGGATGCGGCAAACCGCTGGTAATAACCAGGTGGGATTGAGGTATCGAGTCCTTCAACGTCGCGTCATGCAGCCTCGGGTTGCAAGTAAATACTGTGGCTGCTGCGAGAGAAGAGGGATCAACCGGTTCAGTTTTCACATTAAATCTAGAGCCACAGATGTGACTAACAAGCTGTCTAGGATCCTAGCACAGATTATGTCATTTCTCTCTCTCAGCTTCTCTGTTATTCTCAACGCTAGGATCACCGGGCCACGTCTGTGGTAGAAAATAATAATACATGTAATAAAAAAAACGGTATAGCGCATTAATCACATATGCCTTTAGGCTTAATACGAGCATAGCGTCTGTTGGCTCTTAACATTTAATCACTTTGGTTTGGCAAAGATCAAGAGTGTCGGGAGTCTTTGCATCATCCTGAATCCTAAACGGGGGGAAGGGGGCCCAGGAGCTCAAGCCGCAAACATGCACATGTATGTGCACGCACGCGCGCCAACGCACTCAACCCCTAAACCACTAGTGAGGGTGCGGTCGCCGCTGAAGCCCACATGGACGGTAACTACCTAATTATGTCATTAATCTCAACGCCATGGCGGCGAGCCGTCCCAATATTTGTGCAACCGTACATTCATTACGTGATACGAGACTAGATCATACACACTCTTGTGTACGAGACAATTCTTAAACGGAAATCGCTCACGATTTTTGTTTTTAAGTGAATGTTCCATTCGTGACGAGCGGGACTCGTCGTGTGGGTTACCTTGCGGTAATTCTGAGGATCAGCGTCCGCATCATCATCTACACCAAGAAGATCTTTCACGTTAGTAAAAATGTAAACATAAATAAAGCCATTGAACGTTGCAGGGACATGTAGCCTGATCTGAAATCGGGCATCCTTATGACAGCATGATCAATGAGGCTATTCATGTTAGCAATTAATAGGACCACATCTACCACACTGTGGCTGAGCCAGCACTTGTCGAGATCACTGTAGGAGACTTTCAACCTCCAAGAATACTTCTTAGGTTTGCTGGTAGGAGCCTGAAGAATTTTGTCAAATTATAAAATAATAAACCCGGTCCATGAGATCGAACCCCCACATCACTGGATTCGCCAGTCACATAACTACCGACTGGGGAGTCTAGAGACGCGTGTTCGATCCCATTGTATGGCTTCATTATTGTCTCATAGATACATCTTGTTTAATGTTCTCAAATACTGCTGTCACCGTATTTACCATAGAGCTTATTCACTATTCTCAGGTCCTGCACGAGGCTATGTAGTGCATAGGAACCTTTGGAACATTTCTGTATATTTGTCAAGTATAGTTTTTGAGATATTTTTCTTCGTTCCATAGAGTACACTGTGAGTACACTGGTCGTTCCCGAGAGTACATTGTAACTACTCTGATACGATTTCAAAGAACACTGAGTACTATGAGGTGGTTCCAGAGCGAACAATGTGAGTATTCTGGTACAATAGAGTAGGAAAAAATTTAGATGTGACCTCCCAAAAGACGATCCAAACCGCCGACCTTTCACATAAACCACAGTTGCCAGAGCTGAATATTAAGACAGGGCGTGAACGTAGAGCATGTACAGAGCACCTCTGTAATGACAATTTTATGTCTAAGATTGCTCATATTTCCTGTTATGGAGTTGCTGTGATGGTGGTAGTGGTGGTGTTGTGATGATAGTGACAGTGCTGTTGTGGTGGTAGTGGTGTTATGGTGGTAGTGGTGCTGGTGGTGATATTGTGGTGAAGGTGATTGTAAGACAGTTTTCCAGTAGTAATCTTACCAGCTGTTTGTCGGAGAAACCCCCAGCGGTTCAAGGCTAAGAGGGCCATGAACCGGTTGCCTACGAAATACTTCATGATGGAGGGAGACTGCACTCTATATTGCCTCTGAACCCCTCACATTGACGAGACGTACAAGAAATATGCATGTTTGGAAATCAAACTTGGAGACCTTTCTTATGTGTTGCAGGCTTTCAACCACTGGCCACGACCACGGCAAAGAATTGAACCGACTAATGGCTGTTCGAGTTCAACCCCAACAAGTGTAAGGAAAGAAAGAGACGGGAAAGGGAGATACAATACCAAACTTACACCATAAGGGGAAGGCAACTGAGGACCACTCAGCACCCCACTGTTAAGAGAAGTTAAAAGTAACAAAACTTAAAAGCGAATAAGTGGAATTGTGATTCAAAATAGGCTACAGTGTCTTAAAAATAACCATGTTTTCCATGAAAAACTAACACTTCCCTGCCTCTAAAGTTAAGTATTTAGCCAATATAGCTATGTTATTTACTTGCCATTGGTAAATATGTGAAAGGGCAGAAATTAATGAAAATTATGTACGCAGGAACACTGGGAGCAATAACGCATAACCTAACCTAACCTAACCTAACCTAACCTAACCTAACCTAACGCTTATGGACATAAAAGCAAAGGGAATGGCTGTCAAACTGTAGTACAAGTCATTAACGTTCAAGTTCGACAGTATGTCAGGCCGGGTGCCGCCCTGGAAACACAAACCGAAACTGTCTCTATTTTCTGCTTGTTACAACTTGTAATAAAGTTGTTACATCTTGGCTTTACGTGTTTATGACGTATTAGAACGTTGTTACAACCTGCTATATTGGTTGTTATAACTGGTTAGGAAGTGTTAAAACTTGTTCGAACGTTGTACCAACGTCGTAGTTTCGGTGTGTATTTGGCGGGACTAACTGACCAGCACCAGATTTTTTGTTTGAAAAGTATGAAATTGAAATAGGCCAAGAAAAATATCATCACTGACAAAGTTATTCGCAGGTCCTCAATGGGCACAGAGATCGTGACGATACCTACTATGTGTACAATACACCAGCCGCTTGTAACAACAGACACATTGTCACAAAAAAAAAAATAAGTTCTAAACTCTCCGAACATAACCAAACCGAGGACCCACGAATAGAAAACGGGACAGCCCATCAATTTTACGAGCCTCTATGATTTATAGTACATTATATTTTGACGTTGGAGAGTTCAATGTCAAAATGCGATGACGCACTCAGGAGAACGGATTGCTTCAAGAGGACAGGTATACTCATAGCGACTCAGGAAAATCACGTTTTATAAGCGTAGATCAGGAGGTTAAGGGGGTCGGTTAGGTTAAGATCGCGCATTTTAATACGCCTTTCATAGTCCGTTGTGGCAACGCGAGAAGACGGGCTGGGTCTAGACCTTTACAGGTCACATGTTAGACTTAAGTCCAACCTCCATGTTTTTGTTATATTTGTTACAACTTGCTATATATGTTGTTAAACCTTGTTCGAACGTTGTAGTAACTTCGTAGTTTCGTAGCGTGTTTGGCGGGCGATAGCCTAGGGTGAGGGCGTGGCTACACACATTTCACGTGCGGCTCAACGTTATTCATATTACTGAGAAGGATTGTGATGAGCGACATGTTATGTTGATCCAAACATATGACGTTACTAGTTACAAGAAGCCGGTGGCAGATGATGCTCTCACTAGCTAACATCTAATATAAATATAGATAATAAATCTCGTTATTTTCATCTGGAGATCAATATTACTAGTAGCCTCTAAATGTTTTAAAAAATCTAAAAGATGTTTTGGTAAGGAGTTAAGATTAAAACCACATCTATATTACTGACCTAGAAGTATTTATTGTGGATTAGGCTTCCTGTAGCTTTCAGACTTTTTTCTTGCCATACATCTCCAGAATGTTGTTATTTAATGGTCCAGACTTGTAGCCTGAACATTGAGTATAGTCCAGCTATCTAGTTTAAGATACCTCTCTCTCGTCTCTTTTTCCAGAGAGTACAGAGTATTTTGTGGTGATCTTAAAAGCTTAAGTGCTTCACTGATCCATTGCGACCACTGAAGGATCTTTGCACATTAACTCGAATATCTCTGCTGCCATTAAGGTAATGCGAGAGCCGAACAACATTCCACACGAGAGAAATACTAGGTCAAGAAACTCATTGTAAACTGGAGTAAACTCATTGTATTTACACTGTATACCAGGCTTATATGCGTCTTGTGAAGAAGCATCTTGTCTTACGTGTTGTTTTCAACTACTACTGTTAATTATTACCACAGAATTGAGTAGAAATATCTGAAACCTATATCCAAGCCTAATCGAAGTTCCAACTAGGACGACAACCGACCAACTACCGGGTAGCAGTCTTACTGCTTGATGAACAGATGCATCAGGTGAAAGGGAAATCTGCCCAAGCGTTTCTGTGTTGCTCGCGGAGTGACCTCAGGATCTCTATTGCGAGTCGAGGACGTAGACCACTGGGGAATTGAGCAATCTGTTATTGTTTTAGTTTCTTATATATGCCCATAATGTTGCTAAGAACAGATGGAAGTAATCCTAGTCTGCAGAGTTGCAGACAGATTGCATCAGGACCGCACGCCACTTACACACTGCTGTGTCAACTACCTGGTAGCATAGTTCTGAGAAATGGGATATAAACGATGTAGGGGACCTGATTGTAAAGCGATTGATGTGTCATATTCTAAGGGAAACTCGTAAGAAAAGCCTTGAGATGAAGGGAAAACTTGTTAAGCCCGCTAACAAGATTTTTAAGACACAGTATCCCCCCAAATATTTACGTGTGCTGTGTGCCGTGACACTGGAGTCGAAAAGCAGCACTCCACCGTATTCAAGTATAAAAATGATTGCTTACTACCCTGGAAACACAAACCGAAACTGTCTCTATTTTCCGCTTGTTACAACTTGTAATAAAGTTGTTATATCTTGGCTTAACGTGTTTATGACGTATTAGAACGTTGTTACAACTTGCTATATTGGTTGTTATAATTGGTTAGGAAGTGTTAAACCTTGTTCAAACGTTGTACCAACGTCGTAGTTTCGGTGTGTGTTTAGCGGGTATATACCTTGTTTTTGTATCGGTCATAATGGTGGACACACATTTAGCACAAAAGGGCATAATAAAAGAATGTAAAATAAAAGCTGGTTCATAATTGTGTTTTGACTTTTAGACTTATGGGATACTATAAATATATATAGGTTACTAAGGTCGCCTGGATGATGAATGACGCACCACCACCATCCTCCCGCACACAAGTGCACCAACTTCCACCAGCCAACACCACTCATACTCCCATTATAATCACCGCCATTTACACCCAGGTACGCCATACCAGCGGGTACTATTTGAGAGTTAATATGTCGTTCGTTGTAATAATTCTTATGTTGGTGCCTGAAGACACCTCGTCAAACACATGTTCTGTGCCCGTTTTCTCTCTCTCACATTGTCTACTCTATTTAAGCAAATTCGCTTTCCACACATTCGTTTACACCCTCAAGATTGCATGTCCACCGCTTTCAAACAAGGTCATGTCACCAAGTATGCTAAGCTGACGAACAGTACAGTAGCTTTCAGGCACCTGAACACCGATGCGATACACAATGAAATCACAATAGCCTCATATATATCTATGAGAAATCTTTGGAGCAGTTTGGAGTTACTTCGATCCTCGTCCTGCTCAAAACGTTTTCTCATAGATGCGATCCAAACGCTTCATACAACATACGTCCGACCAGTGCTGGAGTAAGCAGCATTTACACAGAGCCCATACCTGAAAAAGCACGACGTAAATGTAGAAATTAAAGGTGCTTCCTATAAGAGTGGGTTGATCTACTCCTGAGAGAAAAGAGAACTAAGGGGACATGATCCAGACATATAAAATGCTCAGAGTTTTCGATGCAAAATGAACAAAATGATTAGGTTACATAGCGTAACAAGCAGCCTAGCATAAAAGCTAAAAACACAGAGGAAGGGG